CCATTGGAATACTGATAATTTGTTGAAATATATGTCCTCCAAACTTAACAAATATATTATCTATCAAAAATTCAAGTATGAGGACAATGTCTTCTTCACTGTAAAAATTGGTGGCATTAGTTTCATTCTTGACGAAATAAGTGGAATTGTAGTTTAGAACAATATAATTATATCGCCGAGAACCATTCTTATGAAAAAAATGCTTGATGAACAATATCTATCAATCGTGATTTCAATTTACAGTGTGGTATTGTAGTATATAACGTGGAAAAGTCGAATGTTTTAATAGACTTTATTTCAGATAAAGATCTAGATCTGAGTTTTTTTCCAAAATTCTTTAAAATTGTGCAATATCCACATGTGATTTACGCCACTCCTGGAGAAGACAGTGTCACAGTACTTTTGAATTCCTTCTTTAATGGCAGACAGTATTGTAGCTAATGTTTTAGACGATTCTTTAGTTAAACAATTAGAAGAACAGGCAATGAATCTTTCCTTGTATGGTATTTTGTGTAGTTTTGGTATCCAATACAAGCAGGGCAAGTCATCATTCTCAACTCTGGCTGGTATTTTAAGAGAAACCATGAAAGACTTGATATATTTATACATTTTCCAAAATTGTATAAAGGGATAATTTTTTTTTTATTTTTTTTTTATTTATTTATTAACACTTACTCACTCCCCGGAGAGAGTGGCAATGGTTACAGATATTAGTAAAAGTATACAGTATTAATACACTAATAAGTAATAAAAAAAAAAAAACTAAAAAAACTAAAACAAAAACTAATCTACAATAACAGATTATTAATGGAGAAAAAAAAATAAATAATACAACAACTCCTTCAATTAATCCGAAATTTGTCTAATTTCAAAGCACTTATTGATACATGTATACTGTGCTACCTGGATGACAATACTATCATTATTTAACAGTGCAGTGAACTGTTCTTCAGGAGGCAGGTTGTGAAAGGAGTCAATCACATCAGCCGCTGTATCAAACAGAACACTGCGTCTATTACTGTATTTGGGACACTCCACCATAAAATGAAATTCATTTTCAATGGTATCTTGGTTACACATGTCACAAACCCTGTTACTGAGTGGAGTACAATTGTGTCTTCCAGTCTCAATCTTGAGGGCATGGTCACTCAGACGGAACTTAGCCAGACTCGTTCTCAAATCAATGTTTTTGATATTGATGAGATATGATTCCATACTGATATTGAATTTAAATGTTCTGTAAGTTCTGAGTTTGTTTTTTCCCTCAGACTTTTCACGACTATCACTATGAATTTCTTCTTTCCAATGGGATGTAAATTTATGTTTGAGGTTGGACTTGATGATATTTATGTCTGTTGAAGTTAATTTATCACTTTTATTAATTAAACATTCCTGTTTACCGGTAATATTCTTCAGCAAGTCTGTAATTTCTAAATACCACTTAGTTTTTAGGCTTTTATTAACTGAAAAAGCTTCTTTAAGGAAAACATTTTTAGAATTTTTAATACGGTTGTAATATTTTATTAATTGATTTTTAATAAATATATCCAAAGGGTATCTCCCTAACTCGCTGTAAATTCCCATAATT